CCTTCTGTTGGCAGTTCTTGAGATCCCATGGGTTCCTAGGATGCTTGTACATGCCCTAGAAGTTCCCCACAAAGATCTCTTTCAAGTCCGCCCAACTTTGGATTATGTTGGGCGGAAGGTGTTCCAACCATGTCCGTGTTGAATTGGCCAGGTATAAGGGAAGGTTGCGGATAATGAAATCATCATTATCCGCCCCATCGGCTTGACAGGCAAGCCGATAGTCCTTGAGCCACAGTCCGGGGTTTGTTTCCCCAGAGTATTTTAGAATGTTGGTTGGTGGTCGGTACCTTGGTAGGAAGGCCGAGGCTCGGGCTCTGATCCTCACCGCAATCGTAGCGCCCACCCCATCGAGGGTGGTAGCCGTAGCTGGCCCCCTCCTCGCATCACCGTGGGTACGCCTATGGGCGTCGAGGGTGTCGCGCGCATCATGGTTACAGTCAAGATGCTCATGCACCAGAACCATGATGCATGGCCTACTGTCCTATGGCGCCTGGTGGATTGATGCGTCCTTATCGGGTCACTCAGAGGGCGAGCGTGGGCTGGCGTCGAGCTCGCATTGCTGAGATAGCGAGCTCTCGGCCTGCTGCGCCGACGCACGCTAGAGCAGCGTGCGAATCTCATGGTGGGCCCGACGATCCTCGGGCATCGCGGGTCTCGAAAACCCACGAAGCAAGGCCACCGCCGCAGCAATGTTCTGGCTCGCTCGAGCGAAGTGTGGGAGGGCTTCATCATCCGTGATGATCCTCTAGTTCACATTGTGGGCCACGGCACGCATGCACCACCATCTCCGTGGTGCTCGATCTCCCGATCAAGCTCCGCGCGTTCCTGCTCGAGCTGGAGTCTTGCTTACTCGAGCTCTAGGTGTCGGGCCTTTAGCTGCTCCACCCGCAGGTGGGGTGGGACCCCTGTCTCCCCCTTGACCTCGTCATCGAGATCATTCATAGGGGTAGCCTCCTCCTCATGGATGTTTTTGACATGTCCCTCGTGGGTACCCATCATGAAACACTCGTGAGAGGGGTGATGGCTCGCCTGCTAGAGTTAAAGCTGGAGAGCGACTCCATTTCTCCTGCGATGAGGTCATGGAAAGACTCTATGACATACTCGGTCATCCCCATGAACTTATCGTTCGCGGGGGATGGATGTGTGCGTCGTGCCATAAGGTGGCCATCGGTCTCTACGGTGTTGTGGAGACCGAACGGGAGCGCTGTCGAGTAAACACCAACGAGTAAATTTCTAATATTGCGCGTCTGGCTCGGATGGTGTGCTAAGAGGACACGAGGTTTATACTGGTTTGGGTGGAATGTCCCTGCGTCTAGTTCGTTACTGCTGCTCGTGTTACTAGCACTGAAAAGTTCATAGTAGGGGTTATAAATGGGCGAGAGAGGGACATGTCCCAAGTCTCTGGTGGAAAGAACAAATGGGTACCGAGAGCTCGATCGCTGCTCGGTTATGTGTTTGAGGCTCAATGCTAGTGGTTTTGATCTGATGCGGTGCGATGCGTTCTCGTGTGATGCCCCTTAATGGGACGCCCTGCTTTCCCTTTTATAGGCCAAGGGAAAGCAGGGGTTACAACGGGAGAAAAGAGGAAAACGACAGGGAAAGGAAGTCCTTCAGGGTCGCTGGGCCTTTCTTTTCCTTTGTGCGGGCCCTGCTGACACGACAGGCGGTGATAGGGACAGCTCCACGCCGGGCGCCTGTCCACTGATGATGCCATGCCCTGACATTGTCAGCGGGTCGTCACGTCCCACTCTGCCCCGGTGGGCAGCGCGGTGAACCAGCGTGCTGATCAGCGACTGTATAGGGAGTAGGCAGCATAGTGACCACGCGTCCATCACTGTGGGCGATGTGAGTTCCCTGGAAAGACATGTCATGGGGACGAGTCGTGTTGAGACGTGACTGCTCCCTGCACGATGCCAGAAGTTTGACCTTGGGTTGTACTTTCTGGCCCATAGTGGTTAGTGGCAGCGTGAGCTTCCGTTAGGAGCCATGTCCGAGGGAACGGGCGAGGCGGAGCCCGCCCTCAGACATCGGGCGAGGCGGAGCCCGCTGCCTCGGTGTCAGACGAGGTGGAGCCTGTCCCTAGAGGTCGGGCGAGGCTGATCACATGACCTTGGGGTTGGGCAAGGTGGAGCCCGCCCTTAGAGGTTGGGCAAGGTGGAGCCCACGACCTTAGTGTCGGATGAGGCAGAGCCCGCCCCCAGGGGTCGGGCAAGGTGGATCGCATGACCTTGGGGTCGGGCAAGGCGGAGACCCCCCTTAGACGTCGGGTGAGGCGGAGCTTGCCCTCAGATGTCGGGTGAGGCAGAGCCCGCCCTTGGGGGTTGGGCGAGGCGGAGCCCACGGCCTCGGTGTCGGCCGAGGCGGAGCCCATCCCTAGAGGTTGGGCGAGGTGGATCGCACGACCTTGGGGTTGGGCGAGGCGGAGCCCATGGCCTCGATGTCGGACGAGGCGGAGCCCACCCCTAGGGGTCAGGCGAGGTGGATCACATGACCTTGGGGTCGGGCGAGGTGGAGTCCGCGGCTAGAGGTCGAGCGAGGTGGAGCCCGTGCCTCGGTGTCGGTTGGAGCTATAGTCACACCTTTGACTGCTCTGGATGGATTAACGTATAACGACCATTAGCCCCTCCTCTTCGGGTACCCTAGTATTGGTCCCCGACAAGCCCTAGAAGGTCTTAAAGAATTATTAAAGCAGTTTTTTCTGATGACTATGAAGTCTATGTTAGTGAAGAAATTCAAATGAAGGGTGATCCCACCTCATTTGAAGAAGTCATGAGAAGCATTTACTCGTCTAAATGGCAAGAAGCTATGGAAGCTGAAATGAATTCGATGAATACCAATGATGTTTGGGACTTAGAAGAAATTCCTAATGGAGCCAAAACAGTAGGCTATGAATGGGTCTATAAGACAAAATGTGACTCCAAAGAGAATGTGGAAAAATATAAAGCATGACTAAAGAGAATGAATAGATTACAACGAGAGTTTTTTCTCCAGTCTCATGCAAGAATTCTTTTAGAATCATAATGGCGTTAGTGGCACATTATGATTTAGAGATACATCATATGGATGTAAAGACGGTATTCCTCAATGGGGATTTGTATGAAAAACGTTTACATGGCACAACCCAAAGGTTTTGTCGTGGAAGCAAAAGAACGTATGGGATGCCGCCTGCAGAAATCCATTTATGGGTTAAAACAAGTCTCTAGACAGTAGTATTTGAAGTTGATGAAACAATAAGAAGGACAATAGCGCTTATGCAAAAGTTCAAGAATAGAAAATTTATTTTTCAAATCTTGTGTATAGATGACATCCTACTCACTAGTAGTGATGTTAATCTGCCATTGGAGAAGAAGTTCTTATCCTCGAGTTTCAATATGAATGATCTTGGTGAAGGGTCATTGGTTCTAGGAATTGAAATTCACCGAGATAGAAGAAAAGGGGTATTAGGCCTATAGCATAGGCATACCTAGAAAAGATTCTAAAGCAATAAAGTATGCATGCGAGTAAACCTACGCCTGCTCCTATAATCAAGAGTAATAGATTTAGGAACTTTCAGTGTTCCAGGAACCGATATGAGATCGATCAAATGAACATGGTTCCATATGCTTTAGCTGTTAGAAGCTTAATGAGTGTACAAGTAAGAACTTACCCTGACGTAGCTCACGTATCCGAGATGTTTTGGCAGAAATCCAGTCCAGATATAGATCACTGGAATGGAGTTAAGAATGTCTTGCAATTTTGCGAAGTATTGTAGGCCTCATATTGAGTAAGATAGAACAGGTACTCTCAAATAGTTGTGGGTACAAATGTTAAACTTTGATGAGTTGTGTAGTGAAATCCATAGTAGTAGCTAACACTCGCAGTTGGAGTTTTATTGTGGAAAAGCTCCAAAGAAACAGTTGTGGTATCATCAATGATGCATATCCATAGTATAGCTTGTCATGAGGCTTCAGGAACAGGCAAAAGGTGGTTAAGGGAATTTGTACCCGGATTTCACAATGGTAGACAACAGCAATAACCATTTAAAGTAGTTAACTCCTATGATAACAGGTCAAGTGTGCTGCCAAACACATTGACATTAAGTTATATGTTGTAAAGGAGAAAATCCAGAATCATTTTGAAAGCATTGAGCATATAAGTACCGAGCATGTACTTACGGATCCGCTTACCAAAGGCTAACCACCCAGTGCGTTCAGAGAACGCACAGTCGACATGGGTTTACGAGAAAGCCTATGATTTCTAGATACTGAGAGCCTAGTTGATAATCTATTTCAAAATAGAGAGGTGTATTATAGCTGTTAATCTAACGGTATTAACTGTTATGACGAGGCACGCTCTATGCACTAATCTGTGATGGAATGGGAAAGAAATAAAGTGAAATAAGTTTAAGTCATAAGGTGAGATCAAGGGTGAGAATGTTAGATTAATTTCCACACGGCTCGGTCCAACGACCGAGTCGGACCCTGACTCGCGGCCTGATCGGGGGTGCCCAGTCGTTCTCCTGGCTAGTGGGCCCCCATCCGTAGCGCCATGAATAGGAGATGGGGGCTGGGGTTCAAGATATGAGGTTCACCACGGCCGCCAGTTCCCACCGACATCCTGACCCTAGTCCGATCGAGAGGGCGCGCTGTGAGCGATGGGAAGCTCCACCGCTTTCAGCGCCGCCACTGGACCACGCCTCCACTGCGCTTTCGACACCGCCGCCGGACTCCACTGCTACCCTACAACAACACCTACGTCATCAACACCTGTGTCATGGCTTCCTCCTCCGATCAAGCCCACCGATGGTCTGCCTCTCTACATCCTCTCTCTCCCTCTAGTTCTCTCTCTAGGACGAACTACTTGTTTATCCCGAATAGAAGAGAAAAACCCCACTAATCTACGCCTAGATGATCCTAGATTTCTATCAATATGAACCTAAGAGTTGAGTGATATCCTCACCCACTGCGACAACCATGTGATATCTTTGAGAACTGAGGCCTATAGACAACCTCAAGCACCACCTTTATCGCTTCCTGAACCACTTTCAGGTTCAGCCTAGGAAGAACAAGGTGTCCTTCGCGTTTTCCCTTCGCCACCACTGAGAAAGCATTTCCTCGGACATCAAACTCCCCACTCCTCAGCTGCTCTGCCAGCGTGACAAAGCAGACATCATCCTTCGCAGATGCTAGATCAACGTTCGAATTCATACGGACAATGTCGTATGCATCCTCCAGCGTCTCAGCATTCGGCACCACCTTATCCATGAGGTCGTAGAACTTGCCGTTGAGGTGCTGCGCCTTGACCCTCTTCTTGATGTGGAGCTCAGCCAACCACTTCTGCTCCATCCGCGTGAGTGGCTTCCTCTGCCTCTGGACGGCCGCGGCCGACTCCTCGGCGACAGAAGCCAGGTTCTTCGCCGGAGATAATAACGGAGGCGGTTCGACGCCTTGCTCTGCCACGTCCTCAACTCCATTGAGCGAGAAGTGTTGTGACCTATACTGCCGGAAGCACGAGGCATAATCTCTTGCTCCCATGAACAACGAGAAAACACAGCGGCGTTAGTGCTCCGCAACGTTTCTACGCCGGGGGTGGTGACTCGGCTCCTCAGGGTGCGTGTCCAGGTATTGTTCTGAAGCTCTTGCTGAACCGACTTGTTTTCCCTTCTTGCCAACTCAAACAAATGTGGAGCAAAATCTTTGGGGGCCTCCCCATCAAGCCAATTATCGTGCCAGAAACGGGCCCTTGCACCGTCACCAATCGTGATCATGGTCGAGGCTTTGAATAGTAGTCGGTTGGCGTCATTACAAGTCAGTTCAGAACCTGCCCAAGGTTTGGAGTCGTTGGTCCAGCTCTGCCAGAGCCATCGAAGGCGAAGGGCTCTTCCAAATTTCTCTAGGTCCGGCACCCCTAATCCGTCGATATCTTTTGGCCTAGTCACCGTTGGCTAGTTAAGGAGACAATGACCGCCGTTTGCATTTTCATCGCCCTTCTAAGATTAGCTTGCTCTTGAAGGTGGGAAAGGAGCCTTTAAATTGAATCCTGTAAGCTGAACGAGTGGAGTAAGAACCGTCGGCTATCCATCGCCAAACAATGGAGTCACGCACGCCCGGCTGCAGATGGACAGATTGGATTCTGATCCAGAGGAAAACAAATTCCTCTATGTGCTCGGTGGTGGTGATTCGGCTCCTCAGGATGCGTGTCCAGGGATTGTTCTGAAGCTCTCGCTGAACCGACCTGTTTTTCATAACATTCAATATCTTGGGAATCAAAGAATTACTCTTGATATAGATGCTCTAGAACAGAAGACAACAGAGAGAATGAAGTATGGCAGACTGTTAAAGTCGTTTAGATGAAATAGTTTCCTGTGTCAATATTTCCAGACTGCAGCCTGTTTTTGACGCTATCTGCTGCAACGGTTCACAAAAGTGACAAACAAAATTGTGCGCTATATGAAAACATAGATGGAATGGGGAAAATCTTGGGGGCCACCATTCAGTGTGTGAATTAGCGAGTAGCAAGTTCCTTGGATCCAGGCACAGGGTTGGATGGCAGGAGAAATAAACCCCCTCATGTTCCTCCAAGTGAAAAAGGATGTGCTGTATTAACAATGCCTAATTTGAGGTTTAGGGTTTTGATTTGAATTGAAAATCAATTCCTTTGGCTGCGTTGGAGGTCTTCAATTGCCTTCTTCCATTGCCAGGCACGCTGTTTTGCATCCTCAAATGTTGACACCTTCTTTGGCTGTAAGAGAACTCAATTAGGTGTGATAAGCATGCAAATTCCAGCACAATACTAAAGAAGCAACAGTAGCTTAGATGAATACCGTGCATATTCGAAAATGTGAAGAACCTGATACTTGCACACTGAGTTCACTTGGGTCATCAGACCAAATAATGTTTCCCTTGGCTACCATTTTTGAAGGGTCAACACAGATCAATTGAGGTTTGTCGGTGAGGATCAACTGGACCTTCTTGTTTGCTAGCTTATTAATCTTCTTCAGCTTTGATATCAAGACTACAGACTCACCAGGGTCCAGAAATTCTTGCCTGCCACATTGTTTAAGCAATATATCCATCAACATGAATTTCTTACTTGTGGAAAAAAAATAGTATAATGTCTACCATATCCACATTGTATTTTATTTTGACTTTTGTAGAGCATAATCAATATCATGATATACAAGATTTACCATTTTGAGTCGAAGGAGTCGATGGAAGCTAATTTAGATATATGGGAGCGCACTTCAGATGATGATGGGGCACCATTATTACCAGCAGTATTTGACTGTTGGTTGACTGCCGCACTTCCCATGTGCGCCAACCAATATGAATCCTGGCCATCCTCATCTTCATTTGCCTGATTGAGGATATTGTTAGGAAGGTGAAGGCTGGAATAAAGTAAAGATTTAATTGACATATGTAACAAAAAATACATTTGCATCGATTGCGAGCTTAGGTGGTCGTGTCTTCCTCAGGTTCTTCCAGTCTATGCCTCTGAAGAAAGGATGCTCCTTCAAGGAAGAATAACCATCAGGTCCTGCACCTGGCCTTTTGCTTGGATCAACATCCTACATATTCATAAGATAAATATTGGATAAAGTGAAGCCAAACATCAAATTCACGGTTTTCGAATTTGGGATCAAAGGTCAAAGGCATGGAAACTGTTTTAGGGAAACGAATGCAAATTCACTGTCTTAAAAGAAAAACAGTCACCTTTGTGTTTGGACAGTAAGCATAACTGAGCAGGTGAACATCCACTGATTTTCCAGAATCTGACTTACATACACTTGCAGTTTCTATTACCAAACTAGAGATAGCCCTGGCAAAGACTGGCTATGCTACTTTCTTTATTTCTTAACATCCTTGTTATTTTCTAAACTAATACTGGTTTTTTATAGGTTTCTCAATACAGTCCACAGGGTACAAACTCACTCATTTGTCCCAAAGTAGGCAGTTGGAATTCGAACACACTTTGTTTGCATAGTGGACTCGTTATTTCCACTGGAAACACATTTCAAGTTTTTATTTGTGGTATTTATATAAAACAAAACAGCATTTCATTTGCATGAATAATAAATGAGGAACTTGTGTACATGATCCATAGAAGCAATAGGTATTTGTATACATACCAGCAATTTGTCAATAAGATCTCTTGCTTCAGCTGAAAAATACTCTGGAAATTTGAGGTCCCTTGCAATGATTCTCTGGAAAATTAACCACTCACTGGCATCTTTAAATGGCGAAGAGCCAGAAAGCATTTGGTACAGTGTGCATCCCAATGCCCATAAATCATTTCTGTAATGAAGTTCATAGTACAAATAAGTATCGGTCTATATTCTTTGCTCATATCACCACAAAGTGCAGGTTCCAGGCATGCATTCATCCCTTGGGCAATGAATGTTGCTAGCAATGTGAGCAACCAGACCTTTAAGTCTTCAGCATCTTATGCACGAATGTGCATTTAGATTACTGATGACTGTGAGGACAATGCAGTCTGAATATCTCATGTATCTAGTGTTGTCAATAATAGTGTGATGTTGATTCTTCATAATCCAGTAAACAACTCACACATATATAGAAACATACATGTATGATAAACAAAGACTTTGAGTATAATAAAGGAAAACAGATCTTCCTACTAGTAATGATTTGTTGTGGGTTTATCAGATGTAGGTTTACTCACCCAAAGGTTGCTGGTGCAGAGTTCAGGACCTCAGGTGGTACATAAGCGGCGGTTCCAACAAATGTACAGGCCCTTTCATCTGTACACAAACATTGGGAAAACAAAAATTAAAAAGCAGGATATTCAGAATTCTATGATGATTCAGGGCAGTTTACGTTTTGTCTTACTAGTTGAATTTGGGAGAACTTTGATTGGAGTATCCCTTGTAGGCTTGACACTACCAAAATCAGCAATCTTGATGTGACCATCAGAAGTAAGCAGTAGATTTTCTGGCTGAAAGACCAATGCAGTCCTTTATCAAATACGACATAAACATAAAGTGTCATGAGCAACTCCATCCTGATTTTCATTTCACACCTACCTTGACATCCCGATGAATTAGGCCGACGCCATGCAAATACTCCAATATATCGACGATTTCAGCAGCATAAAACCGTGCATCGTCCTCAGAGAGCCGACCTTTCTGCAACCGAATTATGAGCACAAGAAGCAAAGGCAGAACAGGAATAAACCACACTGTAAGCAGCTGGACACTAACCCAGGCAATTTGGTCGAACAACTCCCCGCCTTCGCACGACTCCAGCGCCATGTCTACACGGCAAAAGAGACATGGTATTGATCCCAGGGCGGCATTACTTTACAATCGAATTAGTAGCTCTTCACCGTTAGTTCTGACTACTGCTGGTTGGTTGAGGGGCACTAACAGAGGGAGTATGTGTCCTGGAAAGTGAAGAAGAGCCTGATGACGCCCGGGTGGTCGAGCTGGTCGAGCACGATGCGCTCCATCTTGACGTAGGAGATCTTGTTCTCCTTGGTGATGAACTTCTTGTCCATGATCTTGAGCGCGTAGACGCGGCCCGTGTCCTTCTTCTTGGCCCGCACCACCTGTCATTATTTTTATCATCCCAACCTCGGTGAATAACCGCAATTCCCACGATCCAGGCGGCCGCGCAGGCCACGGCACGCCCATGCAGTAAGCGAGTAGCAGTAAGAGAACCTTGGAGTACGAGCCGACGCCGTAGATCTTGCCGAGTACGAAGTCGTCGGCGGTGAACTGCTCCTGCGGCGCGCGGAAGGCGATCCCCCCGGCGGCGGTGGGGGAGGAGGAGGAGGCGGCAGGCGTGGCCGGGGAGGGCGAATGCGCGAGGCGCAGCCTGGCGGCGAAGTCCCGCTCCATGATGTCGTCGTCGCCGCCGACCGCCATGAGGCGAAGCGCGGGCGGTATATCTATAGGAGGAGGCGGGCGCGGGGACCGAGGAAGAAGGCGGGGAGGAGGCGGCGCGGCCTCCGATGGCGGAGGCGGTCAACGGGTGGAACCATCGGATTCGGCTTCGAGGGGTGGGAAAGCGAAGCGGGAGGAATCGATGGGACTGCGACGGCCGCAGCCTTTGGGGGTCGGGGCCGGGGGCTCGCTGGGGCCTGGGCGCAGCCGCAGCGGCAGCGGCCCGGACGGAACGGAACGGGACGGGGCGGAGGAACGGAATCCGATCGATCGAATCACGCAACGCGACGCGAGGGGAACGAATGAGAATGAGCGGGAGATCAGAGATGGAGTGGTGCGGCCGGCGAGGTTCCTCTGCTGCTGTTGTTGCCTTGCGGTTCTCCTGTGCTTTGGACATTTCGTGGGGTGTGTGTGATCGAATGATGGAAGAAGAGGATGAATGGGGCTCATTGGCGTCTTTACGATAACGCTGGCCCACACGCGTCCATCAAGGCAGTGTTCCATCCGGACGGCTCCTTCCGGGCCTGTTGAACGATCGGGCCCAGCCGACCTCCTCCGCTCCATTTTCAATACGACACGGTTTTAAAAAAACATAGCAACACTTCCTTTTCCCATTTGTCGCACGCATGTGACCGCCGCGGGCACATCCACCACGTCGCCCACCCGCTGCAGGCCTTCTCCAACGCGACAGCCTTCTCCAACCGCGGCCTTCCTGTCCGGACGCCGCGCCCACTCCGTCTCGCAGCTACCGCACACCCATCCCACGCCACTCGCTCTCGCCCGTCGCACTCGCCCATCCCGCGCCGCCCGCTTGGCTGAGCCAATCCGGTGCTGCTAGCGGTGGTGGTGGTGGTGCTCATGCGGCGCCGGCTCCGACCCCGACGGCTGAAATCGTCCGGCCCCGAGGCTCCCCCATGTTGCAAGCGCATGTTTCAAGTGTTTCAGATGTTTTGTAGGTATGCTTCAAGTGTTTTATGCGGATGTTGCAAAAGTAGATCGGGATGTTGTATATGTTGCAACGATTGTACACGTAGGTTGCAAATGTCTGTTCCTAATGTTTCATCTGTTTTTTCAGACGTATGTTGCAAGTGTGTTTATTTGGATGTTGCATATGTTTCACACATATGTTGCAATTGTTTTATCTGGATATTCATATGTTTGCATTTATTTTTCAAGTGTTTTTCATGTGTTTTTGCATGTGTGTTCAGACGCATGTTTCGAATATTTCAGCGGTTTCGTATATGTTGCAATTATTTCATGTTTCAAAAGAGATCGAGGTGTTGTGCATGTTGCAATGTGAGCCACTTGTCGCAGCTGCCTGAGGCGCCGTGCATGGAAGGGAGAGGTGCAGCAGGCGTGGAGGGGCACGGAAAGAAGCAGGGAAGCGTGGGGGAGTGGCGCGGGCGGCCCCGCCTGTGTGTGCAGCAGGCGCTGGCGCATGCGTTGCAGCAGGCACGGACGTCCGGACGGAGGGTCCGTTCGGGTGTCCGGGCGCTAGTGTTGCCGTTAAGATTAGTTAAGCACATCCGCTCTCTAGCAGCTTTTTTTTTCTCTCCAACATTTTTCAATATACATTTTTTATCACCAATATTTTCTTCATCTTCCTTTAAATAAAGACGACGGTATCTCCCCCAATGGTATGGATCCATCCCAACCACAACCTTTCAGCCATCTTTTTTTTCATGTACACACATGTAAGCTCCATCTTTTATATGGATATTAAAAGATATATTGTATACCGCTATAGCAATTCTCCAAATAAAAATAGCATTGGACTACCACAATACTTACTTATTACTGTAGAAGATAGATTATTGGAAGATTGGTGGAGATACTCTTGAGCCCTGAATGCATGGACCTCCATGTATCAACTATAATAAACAGGTTATATTATGAAAAAAAAACTATAAACCGATTATCAGACAAAGGAATTAACTAAAATTACCATGGTTAATTTTAAACAACCACAGACTTACACGTAACGCCTACCTATATAATATAAGAGTAGATTGATAGACCTTGAGTTCTAGAACAGGTTGCAATCGCTTGTACACTAACCATGTGTAAGTAGTGTAGAGGTTGGGACTAAATCCAACGGGGCCAGTAAAGAAATCACATAGAAATTACATATTATTTTGTAATGTTAACTAAGAAACAAATTATACGTATCTTAAAGTAGAAAGGTTGCATGGCCTATGTCGATCTCAAGGGAGCTCTTGGTGGCAGCACTATGAGATCCATATTTCTTATTTTATGTTGCCATTCATATATTTGCTCCTATATTTTATTTTCAGGACACATTGTTATTAAAAGTTATTTTGAAGATGAGAGCCATCCGGCATTGGAAATGTGAAGGCCGTGAATCATCTCTTGGCAGTAACGTATTGTCTAGTGTTCATAATTTTCTGACAAGTTAGAGCAATTGTTTGTACACTCCATCCAACCTCTCAAGACATTCAATCTCATCCGTGTCTAGGATAGACGCTATCTCGTCATGTTCGTTTGGCTTATAAGTCGTACTTTTTCAGCCAACGAATAATATTTTTCTCTCACAATAAATCAGCCAACAATACTTTTAGCCATGGCTTATCAGCCAAGCGAACAGGCATAGTTTATTCATGTGAGGTTTAGGCCTTAGAGCTTTGAGAGAATGTGTTGTTGTGCCTTTGTATCACGGCGATTCAGAGCACTTGAAGTATTTGTGACCTTCTAGTGAAGGTGTTGTGGCCTTTCATGTGGCGACTCTTCTTTCAGTGTGTGAAGCGACAGCTCACAGCTGTGCGGGGGACAAGGAGACCAGATCCCTTGAATGGAAAAAGCTTTGTAGTGCACACGATGTGTCAAGGTGACCGGAAGAGCTGAGTGGCGGTGGTGAGATTTCGTGACACTTGCACTTGGTTGATAGATGTCTTGTGTGGCATATCCAACATCGTGACTAAGAAAAACTTGGTGACATAGAACATATTATCTTAATAAAGCTCCAAACGAAAAGATGTTTTCAAGTTATAAATCTGACTAGCACTACTTTATGATTTATAAAGTTATTGCAAATGAAAGATGTTTATTAATCTAAAGAATCTTAGTTTCCTATTCACCCTAAAATTACTAAAGCTATAGACACACCATCCTGGTCGGAGCTAGAGCCGGAACCAAAGCAGCTTAAAAACCCTGCCAAGCGTGTTCCAAGTTGTCACGTACAACATCCTCTTACCGGTGAGTTTTCTGCCACCCGGCAGCTACAGCATCAACGGAAAGCAGGAAATGATACGGTCCGGCGCAACACGGCAGCGTTGCCAGTGGACGTCTCCACTCTCCACTCTTGTGGCCGGTAGGGCCCCGGCCCCCGGCCATGAAAGAAAACATGATGATCCGGCGGCACGGCAGGGCATGATTCTTTTCCGGCTGTGTCGGCCTCCTTGGCCCGCGCGCCACATTGCGGAAAGCAGCACAGATGGCCCCGGCCAGGCTTTGGCTGCGGGTCAAAAAAAAAGTCGCTGCCGCCTGGGGAAAAGCCGGGCCAAGACCGGAAAGATGCGAGAGATATTTCAGATGGATCGAACGGGACGCAACAACACGACGCTCCCCGGACCTCCGCTGATGCATCATGCCTGCGTGCTCTAGTGCTGAAAGACGAGAACACAAGAAGACGGGTGGACGGAACATGCAAGACATTTTTCTAACGAAACCACATGTCCACACGGGAGCAACGGCTTTGGCCTTTTCGCTCGATCTTATCAGCTAGAATCTACAGTATTTTTCTCTCACAATAAAACAACTTTAGTTGACTTTAATACCAGCCGGTGAGAGAAAAATACTTAGATTCTAACCTATAAGCCGACTGATAAGTTCAAACGAACAGGCTAAATACTGTAGATTCTAGCTGTTGATCCCATGTGGACGTGTGGTTTTGTTATTTCTTTCAAGTTAAAAGCCCGCGGATAAGTTCAAGCGAACATACCAAATCCTATAGATTCCAGCTCAAGCGAACAGATGTTCCCTTCTTGCCGATTGCCTCTTTACGGTACGTTAACTTCTCTGAAGCCTGAAGGGCATGACACTCGATGCATGATGCAGTAGGTATTGCTGTTTGAATCGAATCCAATGAAATCAAAATTTATGCGCTGTAGGCCTCCTTTGGACTGTGGGGGAAAAGCAAATGAAAAATATAGGATTCATATTCCTATCAATTAAGTTATTGTAGCATCCTTTGATTCGCATAGATCACCTGCGCATGCAGAGAAAATGTAGAAAATTTCCCTTTGTGTTTGATTCTATAGGAAAACTATGGAAAAAATTATCCACCAAACCTTATGTTTCTTGTTTCTGTTTCTTGTTTCTTATGTCTTTTCCCCAGTTGATCCAAACAATTATTTCTACAAAATTCTTATATTTTTATTTCTCTGTTTTGCATATGCATTCTTATTCATTTTTTCAATCGTGCATTCTAAAGGGCTAGACGATAAAAAAGATTCTCTTTAGCAGGGCTCCTCAGGGCCCGTCCATGGACAGAAGCACCAAAAAAATCACAAGGACCGCATCCGGACGTAGCTCTGACGTCGGCAACCGCTTCGCGTCGGACGCCCGCCGCTCGCATTAGATCCCACGCTAGAGAAATCGCGTCCGGCCGCCCGCGACCGATCCCACGCCAGTGACCGCGTCCGACCGTCCGCAATTTCGATCCCCATCCTGATTGTGCCCCCGGCGTCAAGCCCGCCGCGGCGCCCCCCGTCCTCCGTCGCGTCCCTTCTCCTGTCCTAACGTCTCATCTCCTCTACAACATCCATCCGTCCGTGCAACATATGCAGTATATTATTGAAACATACTTATATAGTCATTGCAGCGTCTAGATGAAACACATGAACCATGCGTCTAAAACAACTGAAATATTTGGAATATACATATATAACATACGTCTAAAACAGATAAAACATGTGGAACATACACTTGAAACATACGTATGTAACCATTGCAACATATGCAAC